GTCAGCTCACAATGTGGCTCATATTTAGCAAAATTCATATTCCTCTCCAATTTTTCAAGGTTAAATTTGTTTTTACTTGTTAACACATTAAATCAACGCAAAATTTACAATTTGAGGACTTAACGGCAATAATCGTTTATTCTGATGAAGATTTGAAATCAGTTCTGTTCAGAAGTCAATTACTAACGACTGACTTTGACGGCTTTATGCACATTTTAATTTTTTTACCCAACTTCGTTCAAAAGCACATACCAAAGGTTGGACCCCACTGAACTTTTTCCAATTCTGTTACATAAGTACCACCACCTTTTAGTCTGAAAGGTGTAGCATGCATTTGTATTCACCCCATGTTATTGTTATACCTGTGAATATAATCTCAGTAGGAATGCAGATGTTTTCTTTAGGCCTTTGAGTTTGGCTGGAGAACATTAGCGAAGAAATGAAGACGGAAAGGCAGAAAGTTATGGGGAAGTTTAACCACTCTTGATTTGGGGTTTTAAACGACTAGAAAACTCTAAACAATCCCTTAATACTCTTGCAAATTCCCCAGAAAAGGACATCAGAAAGAATCCCATGACCAGTGGTCAAAGGTCAAAACCAAAGTCCCACTGATCCCCCAACTGAATTAAAGGTTTGATGATCAGTCCAACAACTTGGCAGGAGCTTTCCAAGGCAGGCTGGGCAATGTGATGCTTGGTGACTGGCTAACACTCCTGGGAAGGGACAACCAGTCCAGGCATCATCCTACATGTGGCATGGAAGAGCTGAGCAAACTAACAATGCCCAGAGTCTTGTTCTGCTGCTGCTTTAGAAGATTGCAGTCTGCTTGCATGGCTGCAAAGGATAAAGAAATTACTGCTGGTTTAAAACTTTTACACAACACTGTGAGCTCAAAATGACATTGCAACATGGAACAGAATCATGTTGAGACTGCAGGGTAACCATTGAATGTCCTGGACAGAACCTGACAGTAATCCATTACATAGTTGTTGAGTCTGGACCAGTTTGCCATAATTTAAGCTACTAACATGCCAGACAAACCGTATTAGGTCTGAGCATGCCCAGTAAGCTGCTCTATTAAATAATACATGTTATTGCAAGTCAGACCCAACCCACTAACTATGAAGTTTAGCCTTCCAGGTCGCGTTTTCAGGTACGTTGCAGTATTTCTTTCCAGCACCATCCAGAACGTTTCATGTTGCATCAGTCATCAGCCGTGTTCTTTCAACTGGCTTTAGTCCATTTTTCAGTGGAAACATCTTTGTTCATGATGCTTGACACACGCAAAACTGGATAACATTAAAGCCAAAGCCTTTCAGGTTCACAGCCCTGACATCTGCCCCACTGTTTAAGACGTCAAGAGTTAATCATGCGGTTAGTCCACTTTGTTCCAGCATAAGCTGGGAATGAAAACTAAGCACTTGATCAAGTGAGTTCAGTGTTTTTAGAGCTGAACTCACAGGGTTCAGCTCATTTTGACTCCTTTCTTTGTGTCCTAAATCATATCAGCTGCAGTGTGGAGGGTTGATAGTGTTTCCCAATCAGTTTTGTCACTCAGAGTCAGTCCTCAAATGTTTCACTGAGCTCCACGGGTTACGAAACCGCAGAGGTGAATGCTACCTTCTGGTATGCAGAGCAGCAACTCTTCATGAGTCGGCTGAATGTGAATTCAGGTGTTTATATTCTCACTCCTGATCTGTGTGCCTTGGGTGGCGCCTTAAGGGAAACAATGAGGAATTGTCTTCGAGTCTTCACTTGAGTTGCTACATTGCCTCACTTCCTTTGGCTCCGGCCCAGCATTTTTCTGACACAGCTATTTTAGGACTAAGAGAAGAGCGAGCGCTACTGTTTGAAATAAAAATCTGAATCCAGTTTCTCAGATATGTAATCACCAAAACAGAAAGTGAAGCAGCAGAGGCAGTCTGGTAAAGGATATGGAGGAGAGAGGATTTGAATCATCGCTGACAGGTGAAGTTTGCCTGGTTCTGTTGCTCAGCTGCAGGGTCAGATCACTGCAGTCCTGATCCTTTATAACAGCTCCCATTGTTTGTTGACAACCTCATGACAGCCAGTGAAGCAGTTTGAGGTTAACCGACAAGGATCTTCCTTTGTTACCCCAGTGGTTTTAATAAACAGCTTTCATTGCTTATTGTGTAGCAGATCCTACTCTGCAGGACTTGCACAACTGTGCAGCTCAAGTCTCAAACTCTTTTAAAACTCTAAAATAAACTATAAGAGATTCTTCTCTTGAAAGCTGTCCGTCTGAGCTCGATTAAAAGTAATTATATTACTCGTTTGGGCAGGAAAATTGCAAAAACAATTTGCAATGTTGCATAAAAATCTTTACTTTATTTAATCCTGTAAACTTTCCAGCTGCCATTGAATCAAACGGTGATCTGGATGAGCTGACTGGTCTTGGAGTGACCAGTAACCAGGTAACCAGTTTGTTACTTTATGTAACAAATGGCCTTTGAAATAAAGTCCTGAAGCAGCACAGCAGCCCAGGCCACCATGCTGCCACCACCATGTTTGACTGGGTATGATGTTTGTTTTATGCCAAATATGGCACCTTCCAAAAACTTCTGCTTAATTCTCATCTTTGGTTTCATCAGGATCTGTTTTGGTAAATGTGGGTCTCTCTCCAGTTTCTCTTCGCTATTGTTTTCATGAACTCTGACCTTATCTGAGGCAACACAGACCTGCTGAATGAGACGTTGAAGTAATTTTGGCTCCTGGAAAGGTTCTCCACTATTCCATGTTTTCTCCATTTATGGATAACGGATCTCGAAGCTTCACAAAAGGCTCTGATCGCTTTCTAGACTGAATCTTATGAACCTTTTTAGCCAACTTCATGTTTTCAGATTCATGAAAGCTGGCATTAAAATTTAAAGTGACACAGCAAAGCTAATTATGGTGCTATTCAACTTTGCTCCATAATATACATGAAAAATATGCTGGGGTATTACCAGGAAGAGAACTGAACTTTGATTTATGAGCTTCAGGTAGCAGGAAGCCTTAAAGAGGTAGTCCGCATATTTGGAAATCTGCTGAGAGGTTATAACCTGTTAATATCTAATCTGCAGGAGACAGCTGTCTTGATGAAACACAGATAATAGCTGTGAAGCTACTGCTAATGGACTGAGATAAAAAAAAAAGAAGCAGGTTTCATTGTTAACTCCATTCAAATGCTGTTTTGTTTAATCGGATGATGATTTGGTTTGTTACAGCCTCTAAAAATGAAACACAAACTGAAAAAACACAATATAGCCGTTCAAATGAGCTCTGTTTAATTGGTTTCTCACTGCCTCAGACTGATTCATTTTGCAATCAGTGTTTCACATGATGAACCAATGGGAAACTGACCAAAACGACTTCTGCATTTCACGGGTCCAACTTTACAGTCGTCATCTGGTCCCACCGGATGTTCCTCCGCGCTGCACCACTGCGCTGCACCACCCTGTGCAGAGAGGCTGATTGATGCCTGTCTTACAAAATATTTTACATAAAGACGAATACTTCCACTCACTGTATTTGTCATTATTCCTTGCAACTCCCTGAGGCAACTGCAGCTTGCAGGTCGATACACGGAGAAAATGCAGGCAGAGGAGAAGAAGAAAAATGATCTTCTCTGTTTGTGTGAACATTTTCAGCCTGTCAAGTTCGTTGTTTCAACTTCTGAATGTATCGTCACGAAGAGACTCTACTCACTATGTTTTATCCAGCAGTCATATTGGATTTAGAGATTGGGGTTTGTGGTTTTAGTTGAATTTATGGGTTTATGATTTGTTCAGTGTCAGCACTCTGACTTCAGAGGCCTGATTTCGTTAGAGCATAAAATATTAATTTGATTGTCTATCATTAAAGAGAAAAATATCATATAATATATAACAGAGCGGTAACCATGGTGGCTCTAACGTCAATGGTCTTCCTCATCGCTCTGCTGTTGGGGGTTCAGCCAATCAGCGACCAGGAAAATTAATGACTGCTTTGCAAACATCCACAAATCTCATTGTCAAGTGATGTTTGTGGCTTGGACTTTTCAGCTTCTCAGGTTGCATTTTGTTTTAAATACTTTAGATAGTCACAACAATAAAGAGCAGCAAATAACTTGGAGTTTCATTCTACACAAAATGACATAAATTTGCTGAATCTGCACATATGCAGAGGACTATAGAGGTTCTAATGAATCACTTGTTCTTACTTTTACTGGAATGTGAATATATTTGACACCTAACAAAGATGGAAGTACAACGTTGAAACATGTCAGGTATGTCTAAAGGTCTGAGTGTGTAATAACTAAACAATCTTCGACTGCATCACATAAACACACAAAACTGAATATCATCAACAAAGCAGCTATTATATTTGCAAAGCAGTGAAAACAAAGTGGTCCCAGAATAAACCCTTGAGGAACTCCACAAGTCAGAGGTGTTGTAGCTGTGTATTCCAAACACACCATGGCAAAAACAAGATTTTTGACATATTTGGAACCCCATACAGCTGAAGAACAAGTCCTGTTATGATTCAGATCTGATTCAAGCCACCATTCAGCTCTTATAATGCCTGCAGAGTGTGACTGTATCGCATCCCATCGCTTATTGTTTCCTTCTTTTTGTCTGAGTTAAATGAGTTGATTTCATTTCCAAAGCTGAATGTCTGAGTAAAGTTGAAACCGCATCAAACAAATGAGCAATTAAGTCAACAACCATGAACCCAACCCACTTATTCAATGCTTAATAACTCATAGCTCTAGTAATTAAACAACCACTGAGGCCAACAAAGCCAATATATGAGATTTATTATTATTACTCAGCTGTAGGGAAGTTTTGAGAGTTTTTGTTGAAGATGGGAACAGATGAGCATTTCAGAGAATAGATTTACCCAAACACAGATACGGAGGAGGTTATGGCAGCACTTCAGGGGTCAGATAAGAGATGATCAGAGTCCAGGCGTCTGAAAACCAAAAACACATGAAGCCCTGAAGGGGCGGGGCTTCTGCTTCTGTCTACTGCAAGTTTCCCCTGCGCGTCTCAGAGATTCAGCCCAACATGCCTGGAGCATGACGGCAAACTGGTTGAGCTGGTGAGGAGCAGAGCAGAGAGCAGAGCAGACAGCAGAGCAGAGAGCAGAGCAGAGAGCAGAAGAGCCATGTAAGAGAAAAGTTTCCTTCCTTTCAAAGTCTCAGCTGGAAACATGGAGCAAAGCGCCACGCAGCCGTGGAGAAAAACTCGCTGAACGGGGAGGAGGAAAGTTTAACCTCCGCAAAGCCTGACGAGGAAATAAAGCAGAGGTGAGTTTATGGTACTGGATACTGTTGCATAAAACCGCTATGCATCGTTATTAATGTGTAAATATGGCGGTTCTGTTCCTGTTTCAATTCTTTATTTATTTAGCTTCAAAAACCACTTTTAGAAGAAAGAGTCACTTTTCTCCAAAATCAGCCCTTTACTCTATTAGTTAGTGATTTTCTTCTTGATGTCGAGTGGAAAGTGTTTCACTCAGAAATGGAGACTTTAGTCCGGAGGGAGGAGCCGCACCCTGAACCAGGCTGTGTGCTTTCCACTCACATTCCACACAACACTTATTTACTCTCATTTATCTACACTCATTTATTTACACTCATTTATTTACTTATTTAGACTCATTTTTAACCATTTACTTCTTAACCTTCAGATTTGATCAGTTTAAGATGGAGCTGAAAATGTTATTACTATTTTCCCTATTGATTGATTTTGTTTTTCATTATTAATGTATTAGTAAGATGCCATTTTTATCTTATTGTTATTATAATGTATTATGATGATTATTATTAGTATTGGCAGTAGCACTACCATTATTATTATCGTTATGATTACAATTATTTAGAGAAGCAATATTAATGTAGATATTATTGTAACAAGATATTATTTCCTAATACTATGACATATAATTATGTAATCATATTTCACTATTGTTGTTAAATGTTAAATAATTACTTTTTACCTTTATATTTGCTTATTATCATGATAATCATGATGTTGTAATTGTATACTTATTTAAATAAGTAATTACTATTTAATACATAATCATTAGTTATTTGTATTATTTGGTGCTGCTAATAATTTCTTTATGTTGATAGTAACTTATAACCTCATTTGTATTTCCATTTTATTGTTACTATTATCGGACTATTTAGAGTAACAACAATGGTTCATTTTTTTTCTGTTACAATCATCATGTGGTGGTTTTTCATATGTTTTTAATGAACTAAATGACAAATCAAAGCCTATCTTATTATTTTTGGCCCATATTAGACATTTTTAAATATAAGACAGTATGTGATGTAAATCAGCCAAACTGCAGTGAATGAGTTATTTATTTTAATTTGTATTCCTGGAAGTGCAGCATGGCGCGCCGCTCTCAGTGTTCCTCTGCTGGGGATAACCCCCTGGACCCCAATTACCTCCCTCCCCACTACCGGGAGGAATACCGCCTGGCTGTCGACTCCCTGGTGGAGGAAAGCTTGGAAGGATACTATCAGTGCCTCCAAAAGGTGGATGTGGTGGACTTCCTGTCCCCAACTGAGATTCAGTACATCCAGAGCATCGTTCAGCCTCCGAAGCAGAGCATCCTCTCTGAGCAGCAGTTCCTGGACAGCGAGGGAGAAGGCTCCTCGGACACCTACTGGCCCATTCACTCCGACCTGGACGTCCCGGGTCTGGACCTCGGCTGGCCTCAGGTGCATCACTTCATTGAGCCCACAGAGGTCACGACCCTGGTTAACCCCCCAGAGCCGGACATGCCGAGCATCAAGGAGCAGGCCCGGCGGCTGATCAAGAACGCACAGCAGGTTGGCCTCTCTCAAACCTTCTTCCCCTTCCTTTCAATGCGTCCCACCTGTGCTGGATTTTGAACTATTATCTCATTCTCGGCTTCTCTCTGCTCAGGTCATCGCGATAGTGATGGACATGTTTACTGATGTTGACATATTTGCGGATATTCTCAACGCTGCTGGGAGGAGAGTTGCTGTCTACATCCTGCTGGATGAGCAGAACGCTGATCTCTTTGTTAACATGGTGTCCAACTGCAGAGTCAATCTGCAGGCATTCCCAGTGAGTACAGCTTCTTATGCATTTTACTGAAACATTTTGTTGCAAATAAAAGCAATGATGCATGACTTAAAACAGCTCAGAAGGTTATGATTCAGCTTTTTAAAAGACGTCCTTTGCTGTGCCTGCTGCACACAGGGAGTGGAGCTCCACACACACTGACACACACACAAGCACATTGCTTTTTGGTCTTTTTTGTGGAAATTTCTCTTACAATCATGTATTTATCATACCACCGGCTCTGTTGCCTAGTGCCGTTTCCAAAATAATGGCGTGGAAAACAGAAGTATTGTGGTTAGCATAGCTGTTGTCAGTTTCACAATCCAAATAAAGGAACCTTATCAAGCTTGTCTTTGCACTATAATCCATTAACTTTCAGCTGAATTAACTGTAGAAATAAACTGGTTTGTCAGTATTTTTCCTTTTTCTTATGTAACTGATTTAAATCAGGTTAACAGCATATGTTAGCATTGTTAGAGGGAACAGTGCTAACACAGCTCTGCCTCCTAACTTAGCTAGCAGCTCAAAACATTATCACATGCATGACCTGCTGGTTATTAATGATATGACTGGATCTGATGTGTTCTGCAGTTCATACGCATGAGGACAGTATCTGGAATAACATATCAGTGCCGCTCAGGGAAATCCTTCAAAGGCCAGATGATGGATCGCTTCCTGCTCACCGACTGCAGAGCTGTGCTGAGTGGGAATTACAGGTGGGCTCCTTTAAATCCAGCATGTTATTGATAAAGATCCCAGTACAGATGTGTAAAAAAGCCTTAAAATGAATCTTTTGTTGCAGCAGCATAAAGTCTTGTCATGCACAGAAAGTTTCTTGTGTCTTGAAAGTTTCTATATTTGTTTCTCTGCTCTAGCAGTTAAACGCTTCAATGTAATGATGCCAGGCCCTCAGCATCACTCCACCTCCCACAGTGGGGTCCCATCTGTGGTTCTTTTTCATAGGTTGTTTATTAAAATCTCAAATAGCTTCCTGTCCGTGGGTTTTATTTAGTATCTAATGGTTCCTATGGAGACTTGCAAACAAAAGCTTTGTTTGTTACTGAGTTTCAAATTAAAACTAAAAGCAATCTGTTATTCACTATGAAGTTGTAGGTAACATGACTTCAAAAACAAATGAATGCATCAAAATAAGGAATATTATTGAATTTAAAAAGTGAAACCAACTTTTGATAGATTGTACAGGGTGATTCATTTCAAGCTTTCATTTCTGGAAGGTTTTATTATTATTTCTTACAGGAAATGGAAAAACCAAATATTCAGTTTCTACGTAAGTTTGTATATGAGTCCAATAAAAGCAGGCGTCTGATTAGAAACAGGGTTCAGCTGTGAGAGGAGTCCAGGCCAGCAGGCTGAGGGAGAGAAAGGCAGAAGTAAACAGGAAATAAACAATAACAAAGAGGAAAACACTGAGGAAGAGCAAGAAAAACTAGCTGAGTACAAGCAGTAAACAAGAATAAATTGAGCAGAAAACAACAAAAAGGACTAAATTATTATTTGTTAATTAGCAATTATTAGAGGTTTTCACAATTTTCTTAAAAATAACCCCTTAATGTGGGATTTTCTCCTCTGAATTTATGTCCTCAAATTGTATGTTGGAAGGTTAAGCTTCAACAACAAAAGATTGATGTGCTCTTGTTTTTAAGTTTGTCTCTGAGACGATAACCCCATCTGGTTGTTGTCTTCCTCCAGCTTCATGTGGTCTTTTGAGAAGCTGCACCGCTGCATGGCTCACCTCTTCCTTGGACAGCTGGTCACCACCTTCGACGAGGAGTTCCGGATTCTCTTCGCTCAGTCGCAGCCGCTAAATGTTGACAATGTGCTTGCTCAGATGGAGGATTTAAAAGATTTACAAAAGAGACAATTTCCAGATGAAAGCACTTCACTGTACAGAAAGCCTAAAAGATTCCTGGACATTCCTTCTGATGACTGGGGAGGACATCCATATGATGATCAACTCGACGGGAATTTGAGGATTATGGCTCTAAAGAGGCAGGGGTCCCTCCGCGGCCCTGCAGATATGTATAATAGGTTTGGTTCACAACAGCGTTTGGACCCCGGTTTTGATCAGGGTTCTTCACGGCATTTGATGACAGATAATCCTGTCTTAAAGCGTCACTCTTATTCTGAAGATGTTCCTGGCAGATACTCATTCCCATTAATGCCACAACCGGGAATGCCAGACTCTGAACCAAGGGGAAAACCTTTTCATAGGGGCCAGCAGCCTTTTCCTGGACCAGGACCAGAAGAAGACTACAGCAGCTATGATAAGTTCTGGAACCAAGGCTATCTGCCTGAACAATACTCTGTTCCAGCTTTACAACAAGAAATACCACCAGAATTTGATCCTGTTCTTAACTATTTATCATCCACCAGAAATCTAGATGTTGATCAAGGCACAGATAAACTTCAACCACCAGTGGATTTTTCATTTACTTCCCCTCAACCCAAAAGACTGGGGGTAGGGCAGCCATATGCCTGTCAAACCTCCCCAACGCCTTCCAACTCTGCCGATCAGAAGCCTTTTTTCCACGATCTTGCCTTGAACCGCAAGGATCCCACTGTGAAACAGAAGCTGAGAAATTGGAGGATTGACTCATACCTTAGTACATATGATAATCCAGAGGAAGAAGGCCTTCCAATGGTGTCAACTCAGTTGACAGACACTTTTCAGGAACCTCTGAATCCCATCCAACAAATGGCCCAGCTACCAGATCTACCCGCTTCTAAAATACCAAATGTCAAAGAGTTTAAGGTTACCACTGTACCTCGAGTCAGCCAAATGCCGGGGTTTGTCAAAGCAATCACACAAGAGAAATCGAAGAAAGTTCTGGATGACCCTGCTCCAGTGGTGATAGAAACCAAAACCACACCAGCATCCTCTGAAACCTACACAGCCGAAGAGAGAAAAACTGAGGAGGACCAAAAACAACCAAAACGCACAGGGCTTCAAAGGGATGACTCTTTCAAGAGGAAATACAATCCAGGGGGGCTAAGAACCTCCAGATTAAGGTCTTCCCTGATTTTCAGCTCCCTGGAGCAACAGACCTCTCAAGAAACTGCTATTGCAGACCAAAACGATGAGGGAGGTGACAAAATGAAAACCGAACCGGCCAAACTCCCCCTTGTTTCACAGGTTTTGGGACAAAGGAGATCTACAGCAAGAGAACCTTTTGAGTGGAGTCGTTACATAAAATCCTCTTTGGAAACACTGAAACCAGATAATGTAAGCAAAAAGGAGGAGGATAAAGACGCATCAAGGGGGAAAAATTCTCAAGACCTCACGGATGCCCTGGAGGCAAAGGAGGCCATAAAAACGACAAATGTAGAGCAAGATAATATTTCACTATCGATGCCTCAAGTCAAGCTCCCTGAACTAAAGGCACCCGAAACTGACCGACCGGTACAACCGACTGAACCTCTGCTCACTGATGTAGATATGAACGATCCAGATAAGAGGCTCATGTTTTTTAAAGAACTGGCAGCAAAACGTAAAGCTGCAGAAGCTCAAAAGGAAAAAGAAAAGGCAGAGTTAAAACCGCAATCAGAGCTCAAAAACATGTTAATTTGCCAAAAGGAAGAGTCTCTTCCAAAAAGAACTCATGAAACTTCAGTTGCTAAAGATTCAATAGAAAAACCTAGTGAAAATATCAGCAGCAAAGACTCTATAGTCCCAAAACCTTCCACTGAACTACAGGTCCAGCCTAAGAAAACTGAGTTGGACAGCCAGTCAATCGCTGGCCTTTCTGTTTCTACAGAAACAGACCCAACTCTGCCAAATCCTTTTGTTAAAGACAGTTTGTCAGCACTGATTCCTCAATCTAAGCCAACATCAGTTGAATTGCCTGAAACCGATCAACCGGTAAAACTGCCTGATCTTTTATCCACATCTTCATACATAGACATGAGCGATCCTGATAATAGGCTCATGTACTTTAAAGAGCTGGCAGCAAAACGAAAAGCTTCACAAGCTAAAAAGGGAGAAGAGGAGGCTCCAGTAAAACCACAGGCAGATCTCCAGAATACGTCAGCATCCCAGAAGGAGGAGGATCCTCCTAAAGGAACACCAGAAAGCATGGAACCTTCTGTACCAAAGGGCTCATCAGAAAATAGCACTACATTGTCCACAGAGACGTCACCCTCTTTGAAGCACGATGAAAATACCAGGAAGCAGGATAGTCTTGTCAAAAATGACCCCAGTACCCTCCGTACGTCTGCAGAACAAGTACAAGAAGTTTCTGCTGAATCGGTAAAAACAGACTCAGAAAGGCATTCTGCTGAAGAAACTAAAGCAAGTCAGAGCAAGTCATCAGAAAACCCAACTGCATCAGAACTTTCTGTCCAAAAGAACTCACCCAAGCAAGCAACTGTTTCTCACACTGCCGTTTCATCCACTGGTGAAGGCGCTGACAAAGGAGAACCTCCTACTTTAGAATATATTTCAATAGTTTCTAGTTTAGGGAAAGATTCATCATCTTCTACTCCCCAAAACACTGAATCAGTTCAGTTAGAAACCAGTATTCACTCTCTCCCTCTACCCTCGGAAGCAGAAACTACATCAGAAATAGGCTCAGTGCAAATCTCTACCTCTGATTCTCCTCCACTTGACTCAGGTTTGCATCACCACCCTGCCACGACAGAAGAGACCTCATTTTCTGATTCTGCCCTAAAAGAGTACAGCTCTACGAATGTTAGTCGCACAACATCATCAAATATTGATGGAATTAAAGCTCAGGAACCTGGTGGCTCCTCACAGCAAGAGCCCTCCGATGAAAATTTACAAACCTCTGATCAAACTCATCTAAATGCTGTTTCCCAATCCGCTTCATCTGAGAACACCTCAGTATCTGATGCCTCAAATACAGAGCCTGTTGTTTCTCCAGACAAAACGACTGCTGATCTGGAGCCAGGCAATTTAAATGCCTCCACAGAGACAAACAGGAAAGAATCTTTTGCTGCTGCACCTTTAGTTGAAGGTTTAGAGGAAAATGTTACTGAATTTGGGCAAGAGGAGTCAGTTACAAAAGAGTGTAAGACCCTTAAATCACCTGAAGATGGTGAAGCTCAAAGCACATCTCCTGCTGTTTGTCCATCTACACCTGATTCCACTTTGCCTAGTGAATCTGGTCCTGAAGGGTCAGTCTCTGAACCAGATTTGGAAAAGACAATTTCATCTGTCACACATCCAGTTGACACCCAACCTGAAGATGTACCTAAGGAAACAGGATCACTTGAAAACACAGAGTCTCCTAAAGCCTCACTGTTGGAAAAAAGTGAACTTGCTCCAGAAGTGGCAATACAAACTCCTCTGTCCTCCAAACTCAAGCTAATAGACTTGATCGCACCTTCAGCTCCTGAAACATTATCTTCTTCCTCAACGTCTGAATCAGTCCAGTCAGGCTTGGACCCTGAAGCTAAGGTATCAGTAACCAGTACAGAGGAAAACTTCTCAGATTCAAACTCAATATCCAATGATACTCAACCAAAATCAGAGGAATCTCTTGTTCAGCCAACTGAATCTACCAAAGCAGCCCCAGCTAATTTGCCATGTAAATTATCTGAAGTATTGACTCCTCCAAGCCAAACACCAGAACCAGCTGCACCTCAGGAGAGAAGTAATAAAGAGGCTGAGTTTGGGGAGACAGATGAGAAAAAGTCCAACAATCTAGAGGACAAAGATAAGAGCCAGAAACTATCCACTGAGGATCCTGCAAGCAGGGAGAAAACAAAAGACCAATCAAAGCAGAGTAACTGCTCCGAAACAACAGAGGTGACATCCAAACAGCCCAAATCGAGTCAGTCTCGCTACCACTCTTCAACAGTGAATGTGATCACAAGCAGCAATCTCCGAGATGACACTAAGCTGCTCCTGGAGCAGATTTCTGCCCAATCCCAAAGCAGGAACGAAGCAACAAAAGAGTCCCCCGTCACAGACGACGAGAAAGAAGACAAGGCTGACAAAAAGACTAAAAACGAAAAGGAGTTGGGCTACAAGTCATACAACCGGGGGCAAACTAAAACCACTCAGGAGAAGGAGAAGCTATTGGAGAGGATTCAGAGTATGAGGAAGGAGAGGAAAGTTTACAGTCGTTTTGAGGTAGGAATGTGTTGCCAGTTTCATTTAGGTCTTACATAAACATGTGATTGCATATGTAGTAAATAATTTTCTATGTTTACTTTCTCAACAGATGGCACCTTAGATGGAATCCAAAGGATGTTGAGAAAAGGGAAAGACATTATTTGATTCTGCAAGATGCTTCCTGGTTTTGCCACAAACAGGCTTTTTACGCACAGAAGGTTGAGGACATCGACGTTGCCTTCACTGACCTTCACCAGCTAAAACTGCCAGCAGTACAGAACGTTGCCAAGCTGTTCAGCGGCACGCCCCATGTTCAGTAAAGGATTTGCATCATCATTTTACTTGCAGAAGACATGATCAAAGCTGTATTTAGTGACTGCATGGGTAAAGTGCAATGAGTGCAACAGGATTTTTATGTGGTGACGCCTGTTTTTGCCTTTTTACTGCAGCACTGACTAAAGTCAACTTGTTATGTGATCTTATAAAATCTGAAGTAACCAGAATGTGTAAAGCTGGTAAAACTGTAGTATAATTTGTTCTGTAATATATTGTTAGTCATTCACTTTAAAGAAAACATGATAGATGTTTGCAGAGTTGGAAGAGGTGGATGTGTAGATTACATCCATACATGAGTACAAAGAAAATCATGGAACTACCAGAAAGAATCAGCAGACTGAGGAAAAATGTCCCATTAAACTGTATTTACAACAGTAACGTGGTATTCAAACCAAATGTGATATTTTGCTTATTCAATATGAGAGATGTTGAAATTAAAGGTTATTTTCAAGCTGTAGCTGGTTGTGTTAAAATCCATTATATATGAATGACTCCCAAATTGCACATTTTTATCTAAATTCTTATTTAATAAGAATCTCTCTTGACACTATTGAGGTGTTTTTATTAGTTGTTTCTTCTTGTTGCCTGATGGTCTTTTCTTACTGTCCTTGAATGAAAGTTAAATCCAATCATGTCGTTTCCTTTGGCGCCATCATGTGGTCAAAATATTTATCTGTTACACAAATCTGAGAATTTGCATTCAATCCAGCATACTCTGTCTGTCTGGAGTGAATTTTTCATATTTCATCAGCCAGAAACTACAATGTCATGTCGTCTGATTAGAGTCACATAAGTTGGAGAATAATTGTGATGTGGAAGAAAACATGCAAAATACGGTTTGCATATTTTGCATGCAGCCTTTTTTACCTCTTCACTGTGATTAAGTGCAACCATTTATTCTCAGAACTCATTAAATATGGAAGTGGCCTTTGCTGTATGTTTTTATTTCTTGTGAACCACAAAAGCCATCGATTAGACTGACTTACTCTTGTAAATAATGTTATTAATACAGTAGTAGTGAAAATCCCTCAGCTGTTTCCAAACAATGCAGTGACGGCTGGCCACCTGATCACGTGACCTTCGCGTTCCATTCTTTCTACGGAAGCCTGTAGGAGCCGGATTGGCCCTGCAGACAAAGGACCGCAAACCGTTCTGTCTTGTCTTGAAATGTAACTAATTTATAAACGTGTGCTTCGCCTGCGCATGTCCACAAAATAAGGAAAATGGTAAGAATATTTATTTTTTCTCAGAAGATGAATGGAAACAGACTGGACCGGAAGTGACCTTCAGATGCGCCATGTTGATAATAAACGCCGTTATTCGGCACTGACGGGGCTTTCATTGGTTTTTGTTGCTTTTTGCATTATTGCGCATCTTATGTAAGTAGTAAATGGACCGTTTGTTTTTTCCCAGAGCCATTTAATGACGAACAGGATGCGATCAGCCAATTATCCCTCTGTGTTGTTGTGTTTTAAATAAATAAAAAAGTAGATTCGTGTCTCAAAAGGCTCTTTCTGTTGCGCAGATTGTAAGTGTTCAAAAGAATCATTAATAAGAAGATGCACTGAAATGTGTGGCTTGCTTTTCTGCTCCTTGCTTTCGTTTGTCTGCTTAAATTTGCATCTAGAATGCAAATGTCAGCAAGTACTATTTATTCAAATTTTGCAATTATTATGTTTCTTGGTGTAAAATGATTTAATGTTTATTTTGGGAATCCGTGAAGTTCCTTCTCTTTTTTAGCACAGAGCTTCTTTTTCAAAATATAAAACTATTCAGCAAATGTTTCACATCAGATTTTACTGGGTTGGGGTCGATTCCTACTTGCTATATGTCCTTTTCTATACTCCCTCAGTTGGCGATTTAATGGTTTAGTTTCCCACTTTGATCCGAAATGACATGTTTTTCTGGTATCCAGATTGATGGTGGCCGCTGGGAGCAGGATTGCCTGGAAGACAGCATCCAGTCGGACGGATCGACGCCTGGAGACAAAACCTCTGGAAGACGGAATAAGTCCTCCAACATCTTCTTCATGGAGACCGGTCCTGGAAATCACGTCCCTCAGGCCGGCTGCATGATCCTGGAGCCCACCATCATTGGTAAATCTCACCACCATAGGGAGTGATGCAGAAAGACATTGCTTGTCTTTCTGTTGGTACTGATTGTAACTAATCATGATCAATCACTATGCCTAACTTTGTGAACTTGAAATATAACTCAATGTCTACACACTTGCCTTGACTTGTGCATTTGATTTGATTCTCAATGTGCTTATCAGATGACAGTCCAGCCAGGAGCTGAAACTTTGAAAACTGTATCAACCACTGCAGAAAATTCATTACTCGATGGTCAGGGTTTTTTGCACCCATTTACGCAATTACAGGTTCTACTATAACTGTTCTGTATCAGTCCAAGTCATTCACCCAACTCATGACTCCATGTTGTTCCTTCTGATCACATTAAAGTACAAACTAGTTGCTAAATAAAGACTGTAAAGCAATGCTACATTGACATGCACACATGGGCTAGCGATGCAACACACATGAACTATGTAACCCTCCACAGGAGAGAGGCTTTTAGGGTAAAATAGGTAATTCAATTAATTTGCATTGCTGTGATAATGCATTAAAATGTTCTAACCACATACATTGACAATAACAGCCCTACTTTCTATGCACATTTAACATTTTCTTAAATATTTATTCTCTCTGTTAGATCAAGTTTTGTTGTTTTTTGTTGTCTCCTAACATCTGGTGTGAATTTAATGTCAAGACCCCTATAAGAAGTGTTGAAGCTGAGAAACAGCCTAGATACTTTTTTTAAATACATAATGTGTTTCTATGTTTCCAGCAGATGTAAAACAGATACCGGTGTTTAAAGAAGAAGCCCCAGAAGATGAAAAAGCTAATGCAGACCTGTGTGACCTTAAGCTCTACCACATAAAGGAGGAAGAGGAGAGAGTCTGTATCAGTCTGGGGGTAGAGCTGAGAAATGTAAAGGAGGAGAGAGAAAGTGCCATAAAAAGTGATGATGAACAGTCCCCTCTGTTCTCACAGCTTCATCAAGACCAAATTAAAGACAGAGAACCTCCAGAAGAAAACGATGGACGAGAATCCATCAAGACAGAAGATTATGGAGATGATTCCAACTTCTTAGCGTCTGAAGACATCAAGAAGGATGAAGAGGATGATGATGCAAAGCATCCCGTCTCTGAGATGAAACACTTGGACTATGGACTGAAAACTGAGGATATGGATAATAACTGGAAGGAAAGCAGAACCTCTGAGTCAGATGGAAACCAAGCAAACAAACCAGATTCAGAAGTAGAGTCTCCATGCTCGTTGGATATAAAGAAATGTGCTACAGAGCACAAAAATGTTGACTCACGAAGGAAGGTCCCAACTGGAGAGAAGTTTAACTGTGAAGACTGTGGAAAAACATTTATTAGAAAACAGAATTTAAGCAGGCACATGAGAAGCCACACAGGCCAGAAACCTTTCTGTTGTGATCTCTGTGGACACAGATTTAGCGAAAAATCATATTTAACCGCACACATGAGAATCCACACAGGTCAGAAACCTTTCTGTTGTGATATCTGTGGACACAGATTTAACCAAAGAGCACATTTAATTATGCACATGAGAATCCACACAGGACATAAACCTTTCTGTTGTGATATCTGTGGACATAGATTTAGCCAAAAAGCAAATTTAATTATGCACATGAGAATCCACACGGGAGAGAAACCTTTCTGTTGTGATATCTGTGGACATAGATTTAGCCAAAAATCATATTTAACCAGACACTTGATAATCCACACAGGACAGAAACCTTTTTGTTGTGATATTTGTGGACATAGATTTACCAAAAAAGCACAATTAATCTCACACATGGAGATCCACACACGACAGAAGCCTTTCTGTTGTGATGTATGTGGACACAGATTTAGCTATAAATCGTACTTAAAGACACACATGAGAATCCATACAGGACAAAAACCGTTCTGTTGTGATATTTGTGGACACAGATTCTTCCAAAAAGCCAATTTAAACAGACACACGGTGATCCACACGGGACAGAAACCTTTCTGTTGTGACCTCTGTGGACATAGATTTTTCCATAAATCACAGTTAAACACACACATGAGAATCCACACAGGACAGAAACCGTTCTGTTGTAATATCTGTGGACATAGATGTAACCGAAAAACACTTTTAAACAGACACATGAAAATCCACACAGGAGAGAAACCTTTCTGTTGTGAGATCTGTGAGCACAGATGTAGCCGAAAATCGCATTTAGTCATTCATATGAGAATCCACACAGGAGAGAAACCATTCTGTTGTGAGATCTGTGGATACAAATTTAGACATAAATCAACTTTAAGCACACACATGATAATCCACACAGGAGAGAAAATATCTCTATTATGACGACTCAAACTGCACAGCTGCTGTTGGCTGTGAAATATTTATGCGTCGTCATTCAAGGCTACATCATTCACTTTCTTTTGAAGATTCTATTTATTGAACATTTTCAAAGTTATAACAGTCCTGTACAGTGCACATGCAACTTATTTAAGACATGTAGTAAATCCTGAGTGCATCCACAGCGATGTCCTTATAAGTATGTCGTTTCAGACGGTGGTCCTGCGAGTTCTCAGGAACTCCCAACACCCCACCAAGTTTTACTGTAAAAATGGTTTCCTGATATTAAATCTTAGACTTTCCTGAGAAATATAGTGTGATATCTAGGATTTCCACAAATGTATTGGGCAATTTAGAGAGACTCCAGTTGTGTCTTTACTATACATGTACACAAATATAGAGACATGTTGTTAGATATTACACTAAATTTATCTGAATCCAAATACTTATGGATAATTTTGAAAGTAAAAGTAAAATTTGCTCCCATATTTCTGTGTTTATTGATATCTTTAGCTGAATCTCCCATCATTTTATTAGAATTGGTGGTTTGTATTCATCTGTTGTAGCTTGGAGAAAAAAAGGAAAGGATAGAAAGTGAACTTGTTTGAGACTGTCTAGAAGAGTTTTTTCTTATCAGTTCAATCCATAAATCACAGTTAAATCCAGAAACGTGTGTTTCTGGAATTCCTCTCAATTTCACCTGGGATATAGAGAGGAATCGTTGTAGTATGTAAATAGTGACTGATCTAAAAGTATTTATGACATTCCTTCATTTGTAGTTTGTGTGGTCTGTAGGGACTAGCATGTTTTGAATTTTTCTCTGTCCCACTTGTGCATTAATCAGGTAAATTGATAAGAAAATGCAGTTTGGGAAGGTTGCGTCAGTCTCCAACCATGGTGCTTTGGGTTCAGCAGTTTCCAAAATAAATTAAGTCTGGATTGTATTGAGATTTCATCTATTGTTCAGATTGAGCAGTTCTGGGTGCATTCCCACCAGCCCTGCTTAGTCTGCTATAATCAAACTGTAGTTTATTTGTCTATCAGGTCCAGTTTGTTTGGGGTGGTGTGGATGTGTAACTGAGAAAGCTCTAAACCTTAACCCTAAAAACCTGTCTTGGTTTGGCTCAAGTCGAGTCTGGCGCAGTTTGAACGCTTATGTGGATGAAAAGGAGAAGAGTATTCTGGGTAAATGGAGCAAAAATAAGTCTAGTACTACAGGGAGAAATGGTTTGTGGTCTTTAGCCAGAGACAAAAAAAAATTCTACAACCACTAAAATCAAACAGTCTTTCTTCTTTGTTTACATTTTGTGAAGAAGGAAGTTGTGCTGATCTTCTTCCGAGGTTTTCCTCAGGAGAAGACCAGCTGTCGTTGTTGGCGCTGCTCCCAAACCGACAAGGGGGAAACAGGTTTCTCAAAAGGTTTGGATCGTTTGACACACTGTGAAAGCGAACAGAATCAGGTGAAAATGTAACAAATATTGTTTGGTCTCCAGTCGAACCGGTTTATCAAGTGTAAAAACACCCAAAGTTCATGTGTGTCTACACAAGGCGGATTGTTTCTGTGATGCCACCAGATGTCGACGCTACCATTACCATCAAAACCATCCAGTTTGTGGAGCCACTGGTTTCAAGGTGGCATCAACAAGCAGCTTCCCACTGTGGCTGCTGGTGGGAACATGGCCAAGATCCAGAGGGATGTGTGAAGGCTGTTGCAAAGGCCAATGAACCAAGGAAGGGTTCCTTGGTTCATTGGAGTGATGCATGGAGGACGGAGAGTTCTCCGAGGCCAGGACGGACATGGCTGCCCTGAAGAAGGATTATGAGGAGGTTGGAATTGGTTTCATTGAGGAGGAGGAAGAAGGAGCAGAATATTAAAATGACCTCAAAGTTACCTGAAGAAAGTTCTGTGTAAAGTTATAACACAGAAGTTTCTTAACATGGCGTTTCAATTTAGAGGAATTTTTAAATGTTTGCATCACAACCAAATTTTGGATGAATGTTTATGGTTTGAAAATAATTATTTATGTTTGAACTTTACATTCCATTGTGTGGTAAGAAAACTATTTTGTCTTTGGTTATCCAATACATGTCTGTGAATCTATAGAAAATTACTTAAAATCTGTTCAGCTATGATGTGAATACTCTATTCCTGTTTGTGTGATTACATTGACTCTGGAAAAAATTGAAAATGTGATCTTGTGCCCGTTAACAGGCGTCTGTAATGTTCTGCAGTGCTTATGTGTTGATTAGGTAATGTTTATGCATTTTATTCCCCAATAAAAACTAAAGTATTGGAATTGGTTTCCCGCATTTGCCATTTCATGAGCAGATTCAATATAAATATGAAATATTCATGCAGAGAAAATGTTTTCCATTTACTTTAATGTTTTTCATGCAAAATGAACAGTGAAAAGAAAACGATGGGACCTGATTGATTTGTCAACTGTTTCTAATGTGAACAAAACAGACTCACTTGTTAAAGAATTTAATATTTTTTATGTTTTAGACTTTAAATTCAGGTCAAACTGTACATATGATTCTTTCCACAGAGTTGAGTCTAAATCCTGTGGATCCAGGAGGCCTGAGGGCTGCAGGCTGTTCTGCTTTACTTGGATGAGATGTTGGAGGTCTTTGCTTTCTTGATGAGAACTGGGTCGAGCCTTTAGATGTAAGAAAGAGGATGGTGACATAGAAAAGATTCACACATAATAAGTTACAAATTCATCAATCTCTTAACACACTTTTTAGCAACAAAATCATAGATTGGCCACAAAATATTAGTTTGTTGTTTCTTATATTATTGGTTTTTTTTTATAAATGTTTTTGTGAAAACATGAATGTCAGAAACAATATTTCGAATTACTTTTTCAAAATGAGATGATGAAAATCTACCCTTGTTAAAATCGATGACTGTTATATCAACGTGACTTTTATGTAACACCAGGAAATGCTATCATAGATTCACAACATCAAAAATAAATAACAAAATCATACAAAACTATTTTTAATGTATGTACATAAATACATAAATATTTATTTAGTAAATTATTTTAAAAGTTATGCATGGAAAAATGACTTTAGGTGAAACTATTGACAAATTACATCTGAATGCAGCTGGTTGCACAAGATTTTATACAAACGGAAAAGACACTAAATATTTTGAAATGTAATTTAATTATGTACTATAATTTGACAATTTGTAAAAAGGGTAAATTTGTTTTTGTTTCTGCATTTTTCAAGCAGCTTTGTGTAGAATAATTATAACTTTTCAGGATGATTTGTTGTTTTTTAAAATTTGACACTTTAGCCAAGCATGTCGACTTCATTGTTCCTTTCTGATTGTCGTACCTTTGCTCTTAAGGGTTCGATATTAAGCTCTGCAGACTTCAGTGCAGAAAGTCCAGCTCCTCCCCTGCAATGACACCAAATTCTGGTTTTGAAAGACTTAGCGCAGCGAAACGGGACTTGCTGTACTTTTCGGTTCTTCTCTTGTGAAACAGATTAACAAGTTCTCAGAGTGAATAAATTCACCGTTCAGTCACATGTCTCAGAGGGTTGATTATGAAAGAAGATATGTGACGTTTCATAGCAAACAGAGGGCCTCTTGTCTAAAAATGTCACTTTGCGTCTTAATAAGCTTGGACTGAATCACACTAATCTATAAAGACCTGCTCTGCCTGAAATACCTCACATCTGAAGGCAATGTGAGGTACTAGGGATCGTTTAGATTAGTTCTCCAGAGTTTCTAATAATTTATTTTTGTTCAACATAAGCTTTAAAAATGCCTTCCACCCTGAGGGCAGCGTTCCACATCTCAGCGTTCGTCTGGTACAGTTTCATTGTAAAATATCTGGCAGCAAAGGAGGGAGAGAAGCTGCCTCCAGGGATCTTCATCTATGGAGGACCATGGAAGTACCTCACCTTTCTCAACTTGGTGAGCGCGATAAGCAGTGATGCCTGTGGTGAATATGTTGTACAGATCAAACTGAATAATTTTGCTGGTGTTTTCTCAGATATTACAATTGACATTCTTTGGCCTGGCAGCATTGAACGATCTCCAACCAGGGAAGAAGGCAGAGAGCGCGCTGAACAGATGGAAAGACCTCCTCTTCTCTGTCTTTGCCTTCCCTGTAGGGACGGTGAGAAAATCCTGCCACTAAATTCAGCTTTTTTATTAATTCACAAAACTATTTTATCATCTAAAAAAGGCAGTTCTTTATTAATATTTGCATCTAAAGTCTAATCTCGTGTTTTGATCTCTGGAAAACAAAGGGATTGTATTTAAACTATAAAATAGTCCTGTTTTACTCATAAACAGAGTGAAAAAGTTACCATGTCCCATCCTCTAATGATAGCATTGTGTACAAACTTGCCAAGTTGAAAGTAAGAAAAAATCAATTTTTTTATTTAAAAAGTGAAAATTGTTCTGTATAATATTGTATGCATTGTGAAATTCCTTGAATGGTTGTTATTATGTTTTAGCTTCTAAATTTCAATATTTTTAGGGTTGATTGAAGTAAAAGTACTTCAATATTTGTGGTTCTATTTACTCAAAAATTAAAATTAATGGAAAAACTTTATTAATAAGGAAATAGTTTTGTGTCTATTTTTTTATTTTAAGATTTTGTTAATCTGTGATAAAGTTAAAAATAAAAAAAATGTCCATCTGCATCAGATTTGAGACCAGATTTGCTCCAAATTTGGAGCAAATCCTAACAGTATATTTCACGCAATAATTTAATGTTTTTGGGTCTAGTTGTGGTTCAGCTTTGTATATTTTCTAACAGATAATCTCAAATAGTGCTGAAACAGTCTGATACAGCTTCACTGTTGGTGTGAGAGGATTTTTCTGCACGTTTTCAGGTTCTGGTGTCCAATTGATTCAGTTTTAGATTTATCTAATCAAGGAACATTTCCTCCAGAAGTCTGGACATTTGTCTGTTTCTCTGACAGTATTGAGTCAGGCCTTTAAGTTTCCTCTTTCCACTACTCGTTAAAACATTGAAACTCCAATCAGCAGTATAAGTAGCCTGCTGCTGATGTTTTATGGTTTGGGGGAAATTTCCCGAGCATCTTGCAGTCTGTCTTCAGGATAAACTTTCGCAAGCCAACCAGATCTGTGCATGTTGTCCTTTATAGGTTCATTTTAAGCTCTTTAAATCCCAGCAGACTCTTAAACTGCTGCAATCTTCTTACTGAAGGTTTCATTCAGCTGCTTGGATCTCAGCACAAAGTTCTGTTTCATTTCAGAATCACAGAAAGCTAAACGGGTTTAAACAGAGAAACTCTTATTCCAAATGTTACCAAATGTGTTTTACGCCTCTTGTCATCTTGATTTGGATTAAATATAAGGGTGTCCTAATTTAATATTCACCTGAAATAGTTTTAAGAAGTATTTTGATTAGCAAATTGAATAAACTGATTAACCTGTCATGTTTTTGGACTGTGGGAGAAAATGCAAACTCCATAAGTTAAAATCATATCAAGAAAAAGTTTTTTAATGTTTTCTACTACTATAAAATAATAAAACGTGTTAAAAAGTGCACTAACTGTGACCTCTGAATTCTTGTAGTTTGTGGTTGTGCTCTTCTGGTTGGTCTTTGCCTATGACAGAGAGTTAATCTACCCGGCAACCTTGGATGACTTCTTCCCTCCCTGGTCAAACCACGCCATGGTATCTGCTCTGCTTTACTTCCCTTCGATCTGGTTTTCCTAACCTCGACTCACTGTGCCTCTGCTCCGGTGTTTTCACAGCACACGTTGGTCCTTCCTGTTTTGCTTGGAGAAGTGCTGGTGCAGCCTCACGCGTACCCACAGATGAGGCATGCACTGGCAGCGCTGTCCGTCGCGGCCGTGGCTTATTTAGCCTGGTGAGTGCTGAGTCAGCTGTTACTGTGAACATCCAGAGCGCCGGAGTGAAACCGGTTTGGCTGCGTGTGAAACTGGAGTCAAATCAATAAATGTTATTCATTAATATCTGAAAACTATAACTGAGCAAAATAGCTGGGACTGAAACGATTGATCAGACTAATCATAATGAATTAATTATTGAAATAATTGTCAGCTAAATTACTAATCTACTAAGGAGTATAAAGACTCATAAAAGGTCAATTTGCTGAAAGAAGAGCATCATAAAAGCTGCAATTAAAAGAAAACTATACAAAAATCCATACATTTTACAATAAGAAGTAAAAACCTTTCTGTCTGTAAAAATGTTCCTCAAGTGGACGTTTAGCTTCACCAAATTCTGGAGAAAAAAATCATTAAGCATCTTTTTCCTATTTAATCATTAATCATTTAATCCCAAAAAATAATCACCAGCTCAGCCGAACACTGTGCTGATGCCAAGTCCAGCAGAAAGAGCTGAGCGTTTCACATGTTGATGTTATAATCCTGTTACAAATAATAACGTTTTCACTGAAGGAATGCTGTCAGTGCATTTCAAAAAGAAATTGAATGATTTGCTTATTTGCATCTGTTGATGTTTTTCTAATATTGTACGGAAAAGGCTTAAATAGTTAAACAAAAAATCAGCATAATGTTACCATTTTTTATCTGATTAATTGAATAATTAAATACTAAAATAATTGTTGGTTAACTAATATAAAGGAAAACCAGAAACAGCAACAAATTTATATTTATAAACTGATCAATTTCAGTTTTTATCCGAACTGAAATTTGTGCATCAAAAGACAAAAGAAAAACAGTTTTAGCTGCAAATTCTGAAAGCAAACCGGGAGATAAAAGCAGATTCCAGAAGCACTCATTATCCATTAGCCTTCGGCACCAGAATCGCAGAAACGAAATGAAATAAAGTTCTTTTCTTGGGCTCTGTTCACACGGACAAAGGGAGAGTTTATTTCAAACCAGCGCGTTACAATCGGTGTGAGATCCAGGGAGAATCAGAAGGTCAAATTGCAAAAACAATCATCAGTAACTTATGAAACATCATTCTTTTTCTGGGCATACAGCTCATGCCATGTATTAGCACAGTCTGCTCTGTGGACACACATCTTGTGTGATTTGGCAGCCTCCAGTCTGTAGCTTGGTCTCTCTGGAGGCTCTGGTTGACATTCATCCTTTGCCTTTTTCTCTTGCACTCAGCTTAAGCCACAGATCCAACTTACCATAAAATGTCTCAGCTAAACCAGAATGCTAATAGGAAGGGAAATATGTTTGAAGTAAATTAATGAGTGACTCTGATCGCTATGCAAAAAAACTGGATTTTGGTGCCGTTTTGCAGCCTGATAATCTGCCGAGCCGAACCTGTTCCGGTTCTGAACCTGTTCCGGTTCTGAATCCGTTTTACTTTGATTCAACTCAATGATGACAAACAAAAGTCAAACCTGAACGATCAGAAAAATCAAAAGGAAAACTAACCTTCAGGTTGTTCAGTAAAATGCTGCACTATCTGTACTGTAACCTCCCAGAGGTTTTCACATTCAGTTGTATTATAATCACATTGCATGTTGCAGAGAAACACAAAGCACTTCATCGCTAAGATTTTTATTACAGATGGAAATCGTGTGGTGTGCATTTGCAAGTAAATTGAGTTTGCTTGTAATTTAATCTGGTGATTCACCACAACTTAACAGCTTCCCACACTGCAAATCTGAGCTTTCTAAGAAGCAAATACCTGCCAAGCAGGATGCTACTGATAAACTATA